TATGTCTGTTTACGTTTATATACACAATCATGCATGTACGCTTTTAAACTCTCATACGAGTTTATTTTTCTTACTAGTATATTCAAAATGTTAATTAATTCGTTCAATAACGATTTATCACAATTAACTCCTCCCTCTCCATCTCATGTTTTACCACCGCCCTTGCAGACATTTAACAGGCGCGGATCTACGGGGGGGTTTAGGGGGTTTAAACCCCCCCCCCCCCTTGGGCGGCCCCCCCCCCCCCCCCAAAAAAAAAAGGAAAAAAAAAAGAAAAAAAAGAAAGAAAAAAAGAAAGAAAAAAGAACGCACGCTGGAGAGAAACCCTTTCAAGTGCAAATATTGTGAGAAGATATTCAACTCATCTGGTAACTTAACCAAACACATGATAACTCTGGATATAACTGTGTATTAAACTGTTACTTGATTTAAAAAGACGTTATCATGCACTGCTTTTTATGGTCTCCATTGTGTTAATAGATGCCAGGAAAACATCCCTTACGGGGTTCAAATAAACACCCCAAAAAAAATCGGCTCGCCGCTTCGCGGCTCGTGGACGATGCTCCGCATCGTCATTATTTTGGTCAAACCCCTGTTTAATATAGTGTTCTGTAGACCAAGACAACACAAACTTGTTAACAAATTCGTTGTTATTCACATTCTCTCTAGTATAATTATATGGGAGATAAATTCAATGTTGTACAGTCAGTTTACATCTCAAATGCAGCTGTGCAACATATTTAAAACATTAGACATGGCAACCAAGTCACAATGAAAACCACATATTATTAAAAACATTTACGAGACCAGCTTTGCCTTCGTGCTTCATTATGTTGTCATCCCTTTGGAATCAATGTGGAATTGTGTGGAGGTCCTACATAAACAGCACAACAATTTCGCCGTTCATTTCCGATTCTCTTGAATTCATAACGACTGAAATAAGATCCATTCAAGTTGCAAACTTCAGACGAATCAACAGTTTCCCAGTTGCATGTACCTGCATAAGGTCTTGCGGTACCGCAAAATATTTCGGGAACAAGGTGTAATTGCGCATTTGCCAGGTATATTGACGTTCATTTGTAAAATATATTCCACATATTACAGAATGTTACAATATATGTTTTCTCTACAGTTGTATTAGAAAAAGATATACAGGCTAGTACAATAGAATTTAAATTCTTGACGATAATATTTTGGAGAGTGCAATTTTTATAATTTGTTTGATAGTCTGTTAAATAAAGAGGACTGTTTCATTGTTTAAGGGACTATGTCCCATTTGCAGGCCAAAAAAATGAAAAAGTTAAATTCCAACTGCATTTGAAAGATAATATTAATTTAGAACTTCCCTAAAAAAGGTGGGGCTTGAAAATGTCTTCAAGTGGGAAAATAATGACTATTAGTTCAAATCGACAATAGGGCTATAGAGCCCAAAAGTAATAGTCTTGATTTTCAGACAATTGTACCGAATGGTCAAACGCCTTATGCTGCGCAAAGATTCAATCAGTTTAATCTTGACCATCACAAGAAGTGGGTTATTGATGTAGACAAATGCTCATGTACCATTTACAACTCTTTTCATGTATGTTATTACCAAAGAAGAAAAAAAGCCAGTCAGTCACTCAATAGTGTCTGACAGTGAAGTCTAGCAAGTAAATGGTTTTCCTTGCATAATTTGAATATGAGGACACTGCTAACGTTTAAATTTCACAGATAGGACATAGATGACATATTCATAATTCCTGTAAAGTTCTACAGCATTTGAGGTTGGCTGCAAAAGGGACATATTACCTTTAAAGTATCTCACCCGTCTACATATCAAGCACTATATATATTTTTTAAATTTATATAGGCGACAGAAGGGGATCGCAACTGTTTATTTCAGTTCATCCTCGTGAAGCAATTGCTTATACATAAACCCACCGATCGGAAATAATAAATCTCTTAAAGGTTTTATTTGAACCCCATGATCTCTTTTTCAGCCAACATGAAAGTCTGAAGAACTTTGCAGGAATTGTGAATATGTCACGTATGTCCTATTTGTCAGCAGTGTCCTATAGAATTCAAATTATGCAAGGAAACCTGTTTACTTTTAAGACTTGACCGTCAGACGCTATTGAATGAATGATTGACTTGCTTTGGTAATAAATAGAGCTGTAAGGGGTACATGAGCATTACATGCAGGCACGGATCCAGGATTTCTTAGGGGGGGGGGGGGGCAATTTGAAATCATGCGAGCCAAATATTGGTACGTTATGGTGACCAGCAGTGACGTAATTGGGAGGGGGTGGGTGCAAGTAGGGGCGAGTTTACCCCTCCCCCCTCCGCGAAGCGCGGAAGCTTTGACATTTCAAAAAATTATTAGAGAAAGAAGACGATTCGTTGTACCGTTATCGACTCTTAATCTTCGTCTAACTTCAGTTCCCCCCCCCCCCGTGCAAAGCGCGGAAGCTTTGACATTTCAAAAAATTATTAGAGAAAGAAGACGATTCGTTGAACCGTTATCGACTCTTAATCTTCGTCTAACTTCAGTTCCCCCACCCCTCCCCCCGTGCGAAGCGCGGAAGCTTTTACGTTTCATTAAATCATTTAATCATTAAATCATCAGACGATTCGTTATACCGTTCTCGAAAATAATCCTCGTCGGAATTAGTTCCCCCTATATCCCGCGCGAAGCTCGGAAGGTAACATTAAATCACTAAAGATTCGTATTACCGTTCTCGCCACTGAACACTGAATCCTCGTCTGAATTCAGGTTCCCCCCCCCCCCCCTCCCGCGCGAAGCGCGGAAGCTTTTACGTTTCATTAAATCATTCGAAAGAAGACGATTCGTTGTACAGTTGTCGACTCTTAATCCTCGTCCGAATTCAGGCCCCCCCCTTCCCGCGCTAAGCGCAGAAGTTTTATAATTTTCATTAAATCATTAGAGAAAGAAGACGATTCGTTGTACCGTTCTCGAAAATAATCCTCGGCTACGTGCCTGCAGTCAGATAAACACATTTTGATACCTTGTCCGACCCCGCAAGCTCAGGGGTTTAAGACAATAAATTGCGGTCAGATAAGCATTCAGGGGCCCGCCTTAGGGCCCCTGGTGGGGTCGAGGCGGCTAAGCCGGCTCCGGAAGCTCAGGGGTTTTAGGCGTTTATTTAAGGTCAGATGAGCATTTTTTTTTATACCTTATTATTTTATGACACTGGCAGGTCACTATTTGGCGTGGGTTCCAGGGGGCGGAGCCCCAAAAAATCTGGGATTTTAGGCATTAAATTACCGTCAGATGAGCATCTAAGGGCCCGTCGTAGGGTCCTAGGTGGAATCCAGGGGCAGAGCCCCCGGGAGCTTAGGGGTTTTAGGCATTTAATCACGGTCAGATGAGCATATTTAGATGCCTCATTAATTTTTAACACTGGCAGTTAACTATTTTTTCTTTCTTGCTCTCATTCTATTTTATTTCTCTTTAATATACTTTTTCAAAAAAGTGGGGGGGGGGGGAGGGATCTCAAGAATCATATTTATTGCCTGGCTGTAAATTTAGTAATTTGTCATTCTCCAACAAACACATACAAACGTATTTACTAAAAAGTGAGGAAAAATCTCGGAAATTATGTCATGTCTTTCCCTTTCCTTCCTTCTCTCTTATTTTTTTGATTGGGGGGGAGGGGTCAACAGCCTGGGAGTCAAGGCCCTTTCGGCCCCCGATCTCCTTCTTCCCCCTTTTCTTTTTTTCTTCCTTCTTTCTTTCCCTTCTCTCCTCTTTCCCTTTCCCTTCTTTTCCTTTCTTCTCTCTTTTTTTTTTTTTTTTTTTTTTTTTGCGGGGGGGGGGGGGGGGGGGCCAAGGCCCGCTCGGCTCCCCCCTGGATCCGCGCCTGGTACATGGCGCTAGGGTGGTGAAAAGTTAGCGTAGGGTGGTGAAGAGTTACTATTCCACTTTATCCATAGACAATGTACATGACGCTAGGGTGGTGAAAAGTTAGCGTAGGGTGGTGAAGAATTAATATTACCATTTGTCCATAGACAATGTACATGACGCTAGGGTGGTGAAAAGTTAGCGTAGGGTGGTGAAGAGTTAATATTCCAGCCTATCCATAGACAATGTACATGGCGCTAGGGTGGTGAAAAGTTAGCGTAGGGTGGTGAAGAGTTAATATTCCAGCTTATTCATAGACAATGCACATGACGGTAGGGTGGTGAAAAGTTAGCGTAGGGTAGTGAAGAGTTAATATTCCAGCTTATCCATAGACAATGTACATGGCGCTAGGGTGGTGAAAAGTTAGTGTAGGGTGGTGAAGAGTTAATATTCCAGCTTATCCATAGATAATGTACATGACGGAAGGGTGGTGAAAAGTTAGCGTAGGGTGGTGAAGAGTTAATATTCCAGCCTATCCATAGACAATGTACATGGCGCTAGGGTGGTGAAAAGTTAGCGTAGGGTGGTGAAGAGTTAATATTCCAGCTTATTCATAGACAATGCACATGACGGTAGGGTGGTGAAAAGTTAGTGTAGGGTAGTGAAGAGTTAATATTCCAGCTTATCCATAGACAATGTACATGGCGCTAGGGTGGTGAAAAGTTAGTGTAGGGTGGTGAAGAGTTAATATTCCAGCTTATCCATAGATAATGTACATGACGGAAGGGTGGTGAAAAGTTAGCGTAGGGTGGTGAAGAGTTAATATTCCACTTTATCCATAATTGACAATTTACATGACGCTATAGGGTGGTGAAAAGTTTAGATCGTGAAAAATTATATCCATAGAAAATATGCACATGACGGTGACATAATGGTGCAATAGTTTATGTGATTTGGTATTTAAAGAGTCAATGCCCCCTTTCCCAGAGAAAAGGCATATATATGCATGACATGCTTATAATTATGGTGCGGGGATATATTGCAATTCGAAAGAAGATAATAACGTTTTAATTTCTAACATAAATGAGGTGAGGTCTTAGTATAATTCTTTGATTTGCCCCTAAGTACTGCGCTTTACCCCCCCCCCCCCCCCCCCCCATCATCTACTCTCATTATATCCGACCACCATGCCTATTTTAATTGGTAGCCAGCCATCGTTGCACTGATCATGCCTGATGGATACAATACACAAAGAATATATTGCGTGTGTGTAGTATAGCGGTTGTACGTGTACAATGCGATCCTTACACTTATCAAATTGGCATTTTTTACACATAAGATGGGCTACCTTCATCTCCGATTAGGTGTGTGAAGAAAAGCTTCACCCACAAACTCCAGCTCCACTACTCTGTGTGTAGGCCTAGTCGTTTTACGTTGATATCGTGTGCGGTGTTGATGGCATTATTACTAGCTGGGCTCTCGTGAAATCATCACTTTTACCAACAGATTAACTTTTCTGCAACAGACTAGCGCCGGTACCAGGTAATTTAACGTTTGTAGTCGGTCTCTAATTGGGTCAAATCATCAAATTGCAGGAAGTAATCTAATTTTAAGCTAAACCTAGACCTAGATCTAATCATCATCAGTCTGTCTAATCATCATGTCAATGACAATTATTGTGGGGGTTGGGGCCTGGGCATGGGGTTGGGGTGGGATGCACGTCCGTACATAACACTCCTTTACAAACATATTACTAGCCCGAATTCACAAAGGAGGTTTAAATTCAACTCATGTCTTAAAGTTAAATCTTCATTTACATTTAACCCATGGCCATGGTCTAAAATTAGCGTAAAATAAACTTGAAACAGTCAGATGACATATGACCAATTCTTCTTCTTCTTCAAGATAATCTGCCTCCTTCAATACTGAAGATTCTTGCAAATGCTGTATACTCGGCCTGATTGGGGTGTGCAGGTGGACCATTACACCGGGGTTTCCCCCTACTCTTAGACGAATAGTGCAATGGGTTCTTAACGTGCAAGGGTGGTGACTCTCCTGTACACGGGGCCTCCATTTAACGTCCTATCCAAGGGACGGAGTGTTTTCCACTTGACATAACCTGCGTCTATGAACAAGGGGAGGGGCACGTTAACACACAACGCAGACTTCAGTCATCCACCTGGGTGGGAGTCGAACCCAGAATCTTTGGTTTGACAGGCAGACGCTTTACCGACTGAGCCAACTCGCCTCCTCAATTACTGAATTTGACTTGCACAATCGCAATTTTAGCAGGATTAGGCAAAGTAATAATTACCCTTAATTTGCGCTAATTTTAAACAATGGGTTATGTTAATGAGTTGGGGTTTAAAACTTGGGATAAATTTAAACCTCCTTTGTGAATTTGGGCCAAAGACTTCTCTTTTGCTTTTGGATTTAACAGAAAATATTCACCAAATAGCACTAACCATTCATGAATATTTGTCGTGTATAATAATTAATATTGTCCAACATAATTCTTAGAAGATTTATGAAATATTGCTTGTAAACTTCTTCAAATTGTTGTTATAAAATGTAAATCAACTGTCCGGACAAACAATGTCTGGATTAGACTTAGAAGTTAGACCAAAAGCTTCAGTCTCTGATATCGATGGTTCTTTTGCTGAGACTCTACTACGTCTGGCTCCACTGCTTGTCCGCCTCTATACATAACAAAGCTAGGAAGGTTGACAAGTTTCAGTTTTATTGAAGAATTAGCCATGCCAGATGGCTCCACTGCTTGTCCGCCTCTATACATAACAAAGCTTGGAAGGTTGACAAGTTTCAGTTTTATTGAAGAATTACCGATACCAGACGGTTATTTCTGGCAACGTTTACTCTATGAATACTTATGTGACGGGCCTACACTGTATGTAAGGGTAAACAGAAATAATCGTCTGGTACCCGTATGGGAAATTATTTAATCAAACTGACATTTGCCAACCTTCCTCATAATCAGACAGTGACCCTAGCCGTATGCACAACGAGGACTGATTAGCCGATTTTCACCATAAGTTGGCGAAAATTTATAAGTTTTTCTGTATTTAGAGTTTTTATAGACTTACCAGTTTGATTTCATAGATAAATAAATGATCAAAAAGAATATATATCTAATTTTCATATACTATCAAAATGCCATTAAAAACAATTGTAAAACATTAAAATATAAGGACTTACTTTCACTTTCAGTTAATCTGTCAATTTTTTTGTAAAAACTGTGCGCTATAAACTCATAAACTGTATTGCGTAACCTCCCCTCACTAACCCGTACGATGTACTCTAGTCTCATCAGTGGAGTTGGACGAACTAACATTTCTCTGCGCTTCCAAAGAGCTTTGGAAATTATTACCCTGGCTTAAGCTCCAGCAGCCATTATCAGCGCACAGTGGATTTCAAGAAATAATCCTACCAGGTACCCATTTACCTCACCTGGGTTGATTGTGGCAAATGTAGATTAATGTCTTGCCAAAGGACATTAGTGCAGGACTCAAACCGCGGATCTCATGATCTACAGTCCGGTGACGTATCCACTCAACCACGACACCTCTACAATGGTCTTTGTCTTGAGACTAGTGCTGCACTCAAACCTGTCTTGGTACATTTGGGGTAGGCTAACCATTTACACTAAATCTAAGTGTGCCCGGAGACTAAATTTGGTCCATGGTGGAATCGCTAAAAGGTAAGGTTGGTGTGTTTACACCTAAAATAAAAGGATGTTCGAGACCAATCTTAGGCACCCTGACATACATGTAGGTTTGGATCTTGGTGTAATGGGCATCTAAGACTTTGGGATGTTTCACAAAGATCCTAAGTTGAACTTATCTCTAAGTTGGACTTAACAATTATGGAAAGCCGTTAACATCTATGAAAATATTTTGTAAAAGTTATTTTATAAGGCATAAAGTGTTGATTCAAATCATTCATGTTTTCTATTATCAAGGAGATTTCATGTTCTTGATGTGGAATTTATAAAAAGTCTAAAAAATTTGAATTTTTTTTTTTGCTTTTGAATATATTTTATTTTAAGACTACAAATGGCTCTCCATAATGTTTAAGTCCAACTTAAAGTTAAGTTTGACTTTTAATAGGATCTTTGTGAAACAGGCCCCAGTAATACTCGGGCCTAAAACTCACCCAATGCTCATCCCATATTCTTGGCAGAAAAACTATTCACCATGGCTATGGACGCCCAGGACAGATGCTACAAGAAAGTGGCCTTCACGATCGGAAAAGCCCTCTCCCCTGAAGAAATCCATGACTTCAAATTTCTGTGCAAGGACATTCCAGGTTTCACCCAAACAGACATTGATGAGATATCCACCGGCCTTGCCCTCATAACCAAACTCGAACAGTTAGCCGTCCTCACAAAGGATAAAGTGGATGATGTGATTGAAAACTTGAATTTGGTGAATAGGAAGGATTTGCAAAATGAACTGGAGCAATATAAATTACAATTTATTACAAGATCAACAGATTGGCAAGTAGGGGGGCCAATAGCCCAACCAATGAGTGCACAGTTTCAGCAGAATAACGGATACCAGTCGGCAGGTAAAGTATCATTCTTTATCAAAAACTTTAAGGCTTTGGAAAAAATTGAACCCTATGCCTTTCAAATGGCCCCTATTTTTTAATTAGGGGGGGGGGGAGGGGTCCATGTGATTTGACACTGAATAATCTTACTCTAAATCAATCGTTAACAACTTCTATAAATTCTGCTTCTGAGAAATGTTTTCAAGTTGCCCTAAATGAAAAGCTTAATTCAAGATGGGGATGAATGTGTGCATCTGACACATGAGAATCAAATGTATATACTGCATTTAAAAACATTTTCAAAATGCAGAAATTTGTTATTTTGATTTCATTCCCAAAAGAGCTAAATCCAAACTGGTTTCATTCCAAAAGGATTTAAATCCACTGTGGCAATTACAAATTTGCTCATCTGAACCACATTTCCTAAAGCCAAGTTTCACAATTTTTGTTGTATAAATTGCATTCAGTCTCTGCATTCAGTGCAAAAGAGAAAGCTGGTTGACTTAATTCCATACTTTTGAAAAACTTTTAGTTGGCAATTTAGGAAATTCCTCTAGGTAGTTGCCATCTCAATGCCATAAATTTTTCAACAGTACAACATACTCAAAAGATGTACCATAATTTATAACCAGAAATGTATGTGTGCATGAAATGTCTGAGAATTTCGCAAGTAGTTCAGATTCCCAAAAGTTTCACTATTGACACAAGACTATATATTTTTTTGGAAATGCCATCCTTTACAATTCATGAAAGTTTCATATTAAAATAGTTTCTTGTTTTACAATTTCTGTTCAAGTACATGTGTGTAATTATGATGTCTTTTCATGAAAATATTTTTGGTTGTATGTAATTGTTTATTTTCAATCAATTTTCTCTTCTGTAGCTTACAACGCACAAAATCAGCCGGTTGTAATGGGAGACGGTAAGTTGTAAACATCTTGTGTTTGGTTATTAGGAAAATTAAATAATTGTAATAATGATATTGGATATTTTGTTATGGTGCACATATCCAAACACAGAAGGTTCTCACATCATTCAAGGAATAATTCCTTCCAACTGGTACCCATTTAACACCTGAGTGGAGAGTGGGAATTGTTGATTAAAGGTAATACATAGTTTTGGTATGGGGTCATGAATTTGGTTCGAATGAACATATTGGAAGTATATGCGATCCTACAATATTCAATGATCGTTGTCGTGGTTTAAATCGAGTCTAAAGTTATGAAATTGTAAATAATAAACTATTTATGTTGTATAGCTCCCTCTCAAGATATTAATTAAGCTATAAAACAATGTTTCTTGACTAAAATCGACCGATTAGCTATTCCCGTTTGGAAATTATATATCACAACTACATATTCTGAGCTTTTCATGGTCGCAGCTACCATTGTACGGCCGTAGGCGCTATTTGAAATTTTATCAAAATTTACTGGGAGCAGCACTGGTAAATTTTTATATTCAATTTTTCTCGAAAGCAGAAGTGTTTTAGGAGCTATTTTCTAGTGCTTATAATACATCCACAGGGGCATCCAAATAATAATAATATAATAATATTTAATTTTTATATAGGGCTTAATACAAATGTCTCTAAGCGCTTTACAAATATACTATTACCCCGGTTATTGGATTCAGTGCTTGCCCGCACACAATGTGTGCACAATCTCCACTCCCTGGGGAGCATTCCAGCCGGGTGTTACTTGACGCTCACAAGCTGTTTGACCAACAATGACGGTCACATTCTACCGGGTACCCATTTAAAGAGAAGGTTGAGTTGTGGGAAGAGGTGAAAAATAATTTGTGAGCGTAATAATTCTTATTATGCAAGTGTGGAAGATCATCAGATAGGACATGTTCCCTGAAAAGCGTGGCTCTTCAAATGCCTTTATATTCTAAATATGTCAGTAACATCGTAAAACTCGGGGGGTAGGATTTTTACGCCACGTGTTCGTGTAGTCCTATATACATCTTTCTGTGTACAGAGTTTGTAACTTTACCAAGACTTGGCCAAATTTCTTATCATTTTGATGATTCTAGAACCTTGCAATACACACAAATTCTTATATGCTAGATGATCAACCTTTTCTGGTCGATTCCACACCGTTTCTTTCACAATGCAATCGCATGACCAGAACTCAACTTCATCTTTAACACCTGGGTGGAGTGTAGCAAGTGCAGGTTTATATCTTGCCAAAGGATATTAGTGCCGTGTCGGGATTCGAACCCTCGACCTTCGCATCTCCAGTCAAGCGCCTTAAACCACTCGACCACAACACTCCCACAAATATATCAAAATTGTAAAGAATCACTATCCACCCAATTTTCAAAATTTCCCAAAACTTTTATTACCTTTAATATCTTGCCAAAGGACATTAGGGTTGCATGTTAGTTCTTCATGAACAGCATTTAAAAAGTATTGTAAGGCCTCCATCTTCTCAAATTTACTACATGTACTTGTTAAGGCAAAATTAGTGCTCCAACCATAACAACTTACAGATTTTTAAACATGGAGCAAAGATGGTGCCGGTGAGGGGGTGGGGGGGGGGGGGAGGGGGGGGGGGGTGGATGATTGCCCCATATGATTTTGCTTTTTTTCCCTTTTGCCTGTTAGAGGTATTTCGTTTTAATGCTGTAACAAGTACTCTGTCATACCCCTTGGTTGGGGAGGGGGGGGGGGGAGGGGGGGGGGGGATGATTGCCCCATATGATTTAGCTTTTTTTCCCTTTTGCCTGTTAGAGGTATTTCGTTTTAATGCTGTAACAAGTACTCTGTCATACCCCTTGGTTGGGGAGGGGGGGGGGGGGTTGATTTCATGTAATGAGAAGTTATTCACAGGTTACCTTTTGGGACATATCTTCTGAGCCTTTCATACATCAAGTGTATGGCGGCGGGGCGGGGTACATCTGTTATGCATGCGTAATTGTCCGTAAGCTATTTCTAGGTTCCTCAATTTTTTGATGGCAGCTGTGAAAAACAAGAGAAAGATATTCCAAATCTTATCGACAACCAGATTGATACAATAATAAATAATAATATTCAGCATTTATATAGCGCTTAATACAACTCGGACGTCTCTAAGCGCTTTACAGATATGCAATGGAAGGCCCTTCTCGAAACTTCAAGAAAATGACAGGCTTAACTTACGAATACCCCACCAAAACATGGTATGTTAGTTAGTCGTCCAACGAGCCATCAAACCCTTCATTATAGTTTTCGAGCTTGCCAACAAACACAACCAAAAAAAGTTGACCATAATCATTTCTATGCTTCAACTTGCTTCTGCCCATCGCACATCCAAACATCATATTTTTAGTATGTCTTAGAATATTTTCATACGTTTTTTTCGTAATGATCCACTCCTAAAATTGCTTGAAAATGTTGATTAATTGCTGTGAATACTGTACAAAATAAGATAAAGTACACACACACACACACAATCGACACTGGCATGCACAGCGCAGCCACGCGAAATAGACCAAAAGCAAGTTGGCCACCAAACTATCTCATTGCTACCCCAGAACGGGGGACCTTCACATTTTCAGTGATTTAGTTTGCCTGCCCCATTCCTGGCAACTTGTAAATGCTCATGGGGATCACGATAATGCATTTTTAAAAATGATTTTCATCCTTTGTTTTGTATGATTTGTTCTTCTATGTAATTTATTTGTACACACTTTGTTTTGCCGATTAAATAATAATGATAATAATAATGACAATATTTTTGTCCTTTCCAATCCACTTCTTACAGATCTTAGTACAGAGTTTGACATCATTGTCGAGAACATCGGCCGTGACTGGCGACAGCTAGCAAGACGTCTAGGTCTGAGTGAGGTCGACATCGAGTGCATCACGGAGAGCCATGGAAGGAACCTGAGAGAGCAATCAAGACAGGCCTTGTGGACATGGAAAAACAGGGTGCGCAGGGAGGCCACGAGGCAGGCCCTTATCGGTGCTTTAAGGAAGTGCAGGATGAACTACATCGCTGACATTGTTGAAGGGTTCATCAAGCAGTGAGGATATTGTCAAAGAGTTTGTCAAACTTTGAAGACGTTGTTATGGGTATATTCGTTCGTTCGTTTATGTTTCCGTAGATCAAGATAAGTTCAACGTTCCTAAATTAAATTTTGATCTTCGGAGTTGTTGCTACAACCGCCCGTGTCAGACATGTTGCCCAGGGGTGCGAGATAGGACTCTTGGGTTTATTAGGCAGTAAGACTTATTTATTTTGATGAAGTTGTGAAGGCACTGCGTAGACCTGGAAAGCTTCATCAAGTCATTTGGACCTTGATAAAAGGTTCTTCCAGAAATAAAGATTTTGTCTGATGGAGTCAACAAGCAGTGAGGACATTGTCAAGGAGTTTGTCAAACCTTGAAGACGTTGTTTATGGCTTTATTAGGCAGTAAAGACTTATCAAGAATTTTTTGGTGATGTAATGAAGGCTGGAAAGCTTCATCAAAACATTTGGACCTTGATAAAAGGTTCTTCCAGAAATAAAGATATTGGTTGATGGATTCATCAAGCGGTGAGGACATTGTCAAGGAGTTTGTCAATCCCTGAAGACGTTGTTAATGGGTTTATTAGGCAGGCAGTGAAGAATTATCAAGGATCTTATTTTCATGATGTTGTGAAGGCACTGCGTAGACCTGGAAAGCTTCATCAAGCCATTTGGACCTTGATAAAAAGTTCTTCAAGGAATAGAGATATTGTCTGAAGGATTCATCAAGCAGTGAAGACGTTGTCAAAGAGTTCATCAATGGTTGAAGGCATTGTCAGGATGTTCCTCGAGCCATGAAGTCATTGCTGAATGGTTAATGAGGAGGCACAAGGCATTTCATACAATGCTTAGGAGTTCAGGGAGCAGTGGAAACATTATGAAGGAGGTCATCAAGCTGTCGAGACCTTGATACGGGGTGCTTCAAGCCACAAACGAAGAGAATGATCTATCAGGCTGTAAAGACATGGTCAGCGAGTTTCTTAAGCTTTGAAGACCTTGTTATAGAGTCTATTTAGAACCTGGGGACTCTTATCAAGGGATTCTTATCAAGGGATTCTGTGATGATGTGGTTAAATCACGAAGCTGTGCAGATATTGTGGAAGGCTTCATCAAGCTACAGTGAAACCTGTCTCTGAAGACCATCCAAGGGAGACCAGAAAAGTAGTCTTTATAGACAGATGGTCTTTATGGACAGGTTCCTTCAGTACATGTTTCAATGAGAAACCATTTTCAAGGGAAACAAAAAATGTGGTCTGTGTAGACAGGTGGTCACTTAAGCAGGTTAGACTGTATTTAGACCTTGGTAACTAGTTCTTCAGAAAAAAGAGAAGACATTGTTTGATGGATTCATTAATATTTGTAGACATCATTGAGGGTACATCTTTCATCCAGGCCTTAGACAGCTATAGCTCATCAAGTACTGGTTGACCTTGAAATGAAGGTCAGCTGCCAGGTAATGATTTGGGATACTCGGAGAAAGTGACTATCTGAAAGGATTGGACACACTACAGATCAAGATGTTGATCATAGCTTTATTATAAAGAGTACCTAGAAAATCCTATTTAATTTTCATATTAGATAGATTTGATGAATATGACTTAAGATTTTCAACAGAAAAGGATTTAGCTAATCCATACCGATATTTATGATCAACTCTAAATCAACATTAAAAAACCATCGGTCATCAAATTATATGGCTATTCTAAGTCGATACTGCAGGGATTTTGGCACATTGCAGTGGATGTGCTGTGTCGTCCGATCCAGCGTCTAGCTGTAGTGGCTACCGCAGCGTTCTCTGCCGCACGTTACAAACTTTATAGAAGTTAAATCCAAACTTAATGTTTCACTAAAGATTATTCATCGTTGTGAGGTTTACCAGCATCCTTGAACATGGAGAGATTAATGGAATGCCCATGTTATACTATGAGAGTAAGAATTTATGAATTTACGTGTATTAACAAAAATATTTTTTCTTCGTTGAGAATAGCGATGAGTGCTGACACCGTTCAAAAGTTTACATGTAGCTGTTGATCTTCTGTGTTATGATATCGCAATCTACTCCTTAAAGGCAGGGTATTCTACTGACACTACTTAAAAATTTACGTATACTGCCATCTGCTGCCCACAATGTCCCAATCTGTCGACAGCAATGTCCCATAATGAACCAACTGCATGAGGCTTGCGGAATGATGCTTGGGTACAGGAACCGGAAATCATCATGTGTTCGTCTTTACAGAAAGATTGCGCAATTAAAAATACATGTACATTACAGCAGTGGTAGCGATGTCGGTAAATACCCTGCCTTTGTTGTGGAACAGCAGTTTAAGAACTCAATTTTAATAGAATTTTGACTCTAAACACTAACACTTAAAACCAACACCTAACACCAACACTGTCCCTTGGAAATGATTTTGTAAATTAGATTTGAACTACATTTTGAATTATATTTATCCATTTTTTGTTAACATATGATGTTTAAAGGTAAAGACCAGTTATGGTCATGCGATTGCATTGTGAAAGAAACGTTGTGGAATCGATCAGAAAAGGTTGATCATCTAGCATCTAGCATCTGCAAGCTTCTGGAATCATCAAAATAGTAAGAAATTTGGCCCATTCTTCGTAAAGTTACAAGCACTATACACAGAAAGATGTATATGGGACTACCCTATATCTCTCACAGACCATGAGAGAAACAAATTTACCAAATATATGAATTAGTAGGCGGTTTCCCGGCAAATTTGTTATCATCATGTATTAGTCAAAACATATTCTTTCACATGATTGGTAATGAGAGCTTCCATTTCATTTTTTGAAACTGGGGCGTTTCCAAGACTGGTCTTTACCTTTAATGATAGGTATTCAATCATTTCAATGAATAAGATATTTTGCTAAGTTTGCTTCTAGGCAATTAGTACACTTCTTGTGCACCATAAAAATCGAGCAGAAGACAGCTGAATTTTGTATTCAATGTATGCTTACAAACCATTGTCCTTTTGGATCTACTGTAAATCGAGGGTTCAGTGACACAAAGACGTAACTCTATATTTTGCCAAAATGAGTATTTGATATCAGAATGTTCAGAAAAATGTTGTCTTTCCAGGAAACACAAAGACTTAACTCCACCCAACACCACACTGAAGTCAATCACTAGTGAAACATAGACTTAATGTGCTCAGTGACACATAAACCACCTTTTCTCAAAATGGCCAAAATGGAGTTAGGCCTTTGTGTCACTGTACAAAAGTCTTTTGCATTTTATAGAATATTTTCACATGGTGCCAAATATTTTCTTCATACTAGTATTTAGGAACACATATTTTATCAACATTGTGCTATTTATTTATCTACTTCAATATTCATGCTGGCTTCATTCACAAGTGTCAGCCTTTCCATAAAAATACACCGTAAGAAAAAAAGGGACATTTTGCCTATTTTTAGTAAAATGACACCAAGATCATCAATTTTGGGACAATATATTTTGATTATTTGGCTATTTTTGTGAGGAAATGTCGTTTTCAAAATATGCTTCTTTTGCTTATGTAGTCATGCTTAAAGCAGCAAGACATTTGTGCATGACATCTTTCTATACCATTAGCTGTGTTGAAGAGAGCGGTCATGCATTTGTGGTACCTTTCACCCCTAAATAGTGAATTACTCCAAATGATCTTTGATTGCAATTATAGTATTGCATGCATCCAAATGTTCAAAGATTGTTTATGATATAATCGAGTCAGATAATGTCAACATGTCCATGTTTTCTCATAGGGAATTGCCAACAGCAAAGCATTGCTGTACCGGTAGTTTTATTGTAAGTGAGGCTGTAGTTCAGTTAATCTTTGTTCTGGTGAGGGTTATACAAAATAAATTCCCTTATAGAATCCCAAAAAACTTCAGAACTATGGAATTGTCAAGAGGCATTGATGAAGAAGAAATGTACTTACAACTGTCTCAATTGCTGAGTAATCTGCAAAATATATAGCTTCACCAAAAGCTGTAAAGCATTCAAAGTCTATGTCACCTGTTCAATCGGTTTACATTTCAATGATGTGTGTTACTTTCAACAGCACTTTGACTGCATGACTGGACAATTTTATATTTTTATATTTATTTATTTTTGTTCTTGATTACAATCATATAGTATCTGTGAATCCTTATGGCTATGTATGATAGTTATATGAAGCCTCAACATGCATTCAAATGCATCATTTGTATAATTTCTTGATTTATAATGACTTCACTGTAACGGTTTACTTAGCTCTTTCCACATACAGTACCAAATATTTTTAGATGAAATCTATGGAGATAAAATCTGTCAAGATCCAAATCATGCTTGTTATGTGTAGTAATTATCATAGAGATGTACTAATCTAAGTCTAACCCTTGATTATAATTTTTTTTATTATTATATACCTAACCATTACATTTTTGTATTATTATTTCTTCAAGGGCCTAATCTACTTGGTATTCAATTGTACTTTTTATCTCATGTTTCCACTGTATGGAAATAATGCAGTTATAAAATTGTCCTTTAACTAATACTATATATACTGTTATTGTGTATACCGTTGAGGGTTGTAAATAGGAATGATATACCATGGAGTGTTTTAATATTAAAAATATTGTCACTTTAAAATGTCTGACTAATTGCCTTTTAATTTCAGGGACTAACCATTTTATTTTAGTTCTTTTATTGATAATGTGTTTTATTTCAAGTACTAAATAGTTTATTTGAGAGAGGAAAACTTATAGATTGCAAAAGAGTTATAGGAAATTAATAATAGGAATAGGAAATCATATTGGAATATAAAGAGTAAGGATAATTATAAGAATGGGGAGGGGGAGTTGAGAGAGAGAGAGAGGGAGGGGAGAGAGAGAGAGATGTAGGAGAGGGGGAGACAGATGGGAAGAGAGAGAGAGAGAGAGAGAGAGAGACGGATAGTGAGGTGAGACATATTGCACAGGAGTTAATTTAGATAAAGGGGAAAATCATACTGGAATATAAAGAGTAAGGATAATTATAAGAACGGAGAGGGGGAGACAGAGAGATGGGAAGGGGAGACGGGGAGAGTGAGGTGAGTGAGGTGAGACATACAAAGGAAGAGATGGTAAGAAGATGGGGGATTGACAAAGGAAGAGGAGAGTTAGGGAGAAGTAAGGTATTGATGGTGTGGAGGGAGAGAGAAAGAGAGAGAGACGGGGGTAGAGATCGTCGAGAGAGAAGGGATGGAGAGAGAGAGAGAGAGAAGGGGGTAGAGAGGGAGGGATGGAGAGTGAGAGAGAGATGGGAAGGGGGGGGGGGGGCAGAGGGAGGGTCAGAGACGGAAAGTGGTGGTGGCAGTGGTGGTTATTTTACCTGACTGCTAAGAAAGCATAAATGCTTGCTAGTAAGCAACCAGACGGCCAACGGCTTTAGGTCCTCTCCGAGGGACCTGGTAATGAGGTGAGACTGAGACATACAGAGGAAGAGAAAAGGTAAGAAGGATTGACAAAGGATGAAGAGAGAGTTAGGGGGAGTTTAGGTATTTAGGATGAGGAGGAAGAGAGAGAGAGAGAGAGAGAGAGAGAGAGAGGGGGGGGGGGGAGAGAGGGAGAGGTTTACACCTTTTTTCTACCTCCCTCTTTGGGCTCATATTTTCCAGTTTTTCTCTTTAAAAAACGGTAAAAACAATACACTTTTTTTAAAAGCCAACCGTAGATTTCAAGATTGTTCGGTCAGTCACAAAGGGCAATACAACATCTTTTTTTTTTAGGCCTTAGGCTACACTTAGGTAGGACAATAAAGATGAGATTTTCAAATCGTCCTATAATTCTGCCAAGAGGTGGCGCTATACCTCTAACAGAGAGAGGGGGGGGGGGGTGGGGGTAGAGAGAGAGAGAGAGAGAGAAAGAGAGGGGATGGGGACATTTTTTTTAAAGGTGGGGTAGAGAGAGAGAGAGAGAGAGAGAAAGAGAGGGGGTGGGGAAAAAAAAGGGGGTGGGGTAGAGAGAGAGAGAGAGAGAGAGTGAGAGAGAGAGAGAGAGAGAGAGAGAGAGTGAGAGAGAGAGAGAGAGAGAGAGAGAGAGAGAGAGTGAGAGAGAGAGAGAGAGAGAGAGCGAAAACACGAAGGGATTGGGAATTGAACCAAGTGAAATAGAATTCAAAAGATAGGCCAAGGTAGAGCGAGATACATGAATGCGGTTGGATTATGAAGAGTATATCAAATCGGAATTTCTCTTCGAACCACAAAATCCCTTGCAAATATATTTGTTTAGAGAATAAAAGACCAAACAGTTTTCATGACACGACATTTTAATAGTTTAACGTGACCTTTATTCACGACCAATACAATGAAACATTTAATATACAAAATAAACATGATACATGAATATTCAAAAGATAAATTCTTTAAAAAAGGGAATATTATTATTTATTATTCTTTTTGAAAGAAGAGCGATCATCATTAAATAAACCGTCGGCCCGTGCAACTAGAAAAAAAGGTAATATTTAATCTTCAAACTCTTCATAACACCATCAAATGGAAGTGGTAGTGTGCAAAACTGCATATCAAAAATAATGGTAGCTATTGTAGAAGCCAAAACACTTTATGCAAAATGAAAATCACCCACTTTTTCCAAATAATGTTTTCATGCGCTCTGGTAAAAGACTCGGATCAATGAACTGCCGTACTCAATACTTCCTAAATTCCGATTTTTCCTTCTTTATTCGTACATATAATCAGTCTGCTAAGTATTATCAAGTTCTTTGTATTTTGCAGGTCATGTCACATCATCCCTTTTCACCTTTATTTTATGTCAAAATATATATCTATGTCATTTGCTATGATATCTATCTATAAGTGTCATGTTAAGTTTTCTGTAAAATGTGTGAGCAAATCAAATTTCCATTGGACAATAAAAATGAATTTGAATTAAAATTGAATGAAAATCGAATATCTCATAGAATCATGTTTGTAAGTGAAATACGTCATTGTAAAGTTCGAACGTTGCAAAAGATGATTGGCGGAGCAGAGCCATTAAAATTGTCTTGTTGATTTTTCAAGAGTATATTTTCCAATGCTCCAAAGGGTTGAAATGAGAGGACCAATCATCGAGTTCCTGGCTCATGATGTTCATTAAGTTTCTTGAGGAACCGTTTAGGTTTCTTGGTGGTATCTATAGATAGCTTCTTCATGTGGTTGATGAGTGGTTGGTCTTCGTTTAACTTCTCGACCTTCTCCTCGTCATCACCCCACCGGATGTACCGACACTTCCTCATCTCATCGAACAACTCCCCTTCTTCAAGATTCTCAATGTTGGGGATATCATTCTCCAGGACATTCAGGCTCTCCCTCTTGAACTTTCGGAAGCTTTGAAGGCTCTTGACCTCGCCATGAAGGCTGTTCATACCGGCAACCGCCGCCATGCTGGTCCGCCTGAGCCTCTGACGGAGACCCCGACGCTTACTGGAAGTAGACGTGTCCGCCATGAACCCCACACTTTGGCTTCTTTCGTCGTCTTCGTTTTCCTCGGTGATCGGCGGGCCAGCGGTGCGCGGTCTCTGTTCGGTAGCGTCACCTGTAGTCGATGTCGCCTTTGGTGCGCGCTTCTCCTTCATTGCGGACATCTTTCTCTGTTGCTTCACCATCTGCGTCTTGTACATGTCTAGGAAGTTTGTCCTGAGGACCTTGTTGTTCGGATCCTGCGCTTGTGCGATCATCAAGGCCGTGGCGTTCGGAGTGGACTCGCGTTTCTTGCGCCTGGCTGCGTCTGGTATTGATGTCTTTGGTCGCTCTGGTTGACTAGTTCTACTGCTCGATGAAGCAGGTATGGCCGTGTTAGGTCTTATATTAGTAGGGATAGTCGTGGCCCATTGTTCACCACCTCCACCAACACCGTCAACTTCCTCTTCACCTTCCTTCTCGTGAATAATCTCGCTATAAAGCGGCAATATTTCTTTCTCTCGCATACTCTCCAAGGCTCTGCGGTAATGGATGATATTCAAATCCACTGACTGCATGGAAGACAACCTTCTCCTGGAGAGTTGCTGGTAGTTGCCCGCTGATTGTGTCCTCTCCTTCGCCTTCTTGTTCGGCAAGAGCGAGCTAAGCTCCTGAGGGGTCGGCAGCGTCGCGTGCGCTTGTTTCCCAAGATACGACGGCACCTCCTCCTTGGCGTTGGAATACTTTGGCGCGTGAAGCCCAGCCCCCGTCACCATCCAAATCTTCTCCTGGTCGCGACGGATGCTGACGTCACGACTGGTCGCCAGGCTCTTGACCGCCGAGTCCAGCTGCCGGTCCAAGGTTCGGTTCAGGTTCTGAGCGCGGTTGAAGATTCGGGTCGACCGGGATTTGAACTTGTCGAGGCGTTTCTTGTAGTATGCTTGGGAATCGCCGGAAGCAGACATGGCGGATCTTTGGTTTACTCTGTAAGGGATGTGCAAGGAATATGAATTAGATAGGAAAACGAATATAGTATTGCAAGATTATGTACATGATGAGGAAAAAAACAATAATGGACATGTTATTGAAGAGCGCGACCACTATTTGCACGAGAATATATAATTTCATTTTATTCTTCTTTAATATATTATTTCAATAATCATATCTAGATTCTACATTATTTAATGTTTACAGGCTAAAACCTCTGCATTAAGATGTCAAGTTCCCTTTTATTACATTTCCTCTTTCTTCATCCTTTAAATCTAGCGATTAGGCCTATGTCCATATTTTTTGTAATTGTATTTTCAGTTTCATTCAAACAAGATTGCCTCTTCAATTAAAAAAGAAAGAAATAGAGGGTGAGAATCACTGTCATAATTATTTGAATATGACGAAAAAGACGAGGAAATGATTTCCAAGATGGGCCCAGTCAATGAAGGGCAACTCTTCCATGGGGGGGGGGGGGGGGGGGGGGGGGGGGGGGGGGGGGGGGGAGTAGGTAGGGGCACCAGTATTATTAGGTGCATGAAACATGACCATCGAATGATGAGGAGAGAGCATGTGAGAGCATCATAATGTTATCCTCACGTTGCTTTCCCCACCTGCCTTGATCTTTATTTCTTCTTTATTTTCATTCATTTTTGTTCTTACTTTTCATATCTCTCTCTTTTTATCTCTCAGCAAGTAGGTATACTAATGATTGACAGATCTGGAGCATTATTTTTAGGGTGTAGCTTAGCCGGTCTGAGAAAGAAAGAAAAAATACAATCTATGCAATATATTTGGATGTTTGATTATCAAAGTAGTATGAAGCCCTGCAACAGGAATCAACTTATATTTGGATGTCACCCGACCTTTAAACTGAATTGAATTGAATTGAATTAAATGTGATGATTTTATTATGCGAAAGGTTTGATGGGTGGAGCTGAATAACAAAATAAGAGTTTTATAAATGTAATGCTTCCTGGGAGAAATTTCAATTATTTAAACAGACTTGTTTTTCAATTACAGATCGACGAATCGATCTTATTTACTGGGTGTAAGCCACATATATGTTTAAATAATTAAAATAAGAGTTGTATGCAGCCCTGCACATCTACATGAATACACTTATATTTGGATGTCACCCGACCTTTAAACTGAATTGAATTGAATTAAATTGAATGTGATGATCATTATTATGCGAATGGTTTGATGAACCTGCACGTTGCTATGAGCTGGTGCAAATATAGACAAGGCGGGAGGCATTGCTATTGTTGTACGAACAACGTGGTACCACTCCGAGCATGAACCGTGAGCAGTTTACATACAAATATGAATTATTATCACACCGATAACAATATGCCTTAGATGTCTATTCAAACCAAAGGATGTTTTTACCGGCAGGCATTTCCAATGGACCATTAGACCAATATAGCCTAAATATAATGCATACGTCTTTGTGAAGTGCCTCGATGTGAATCATTGCATTCATCAGTTACCATTAATTGTAATTCAGTAATCAGAATGCGAATTGCATACATTAGTTGTTGCCAGGTAGGACAAATATTATGGCTTGCCCTATACCCAACAACACTTATTATGTGCATTTTGAATTTTGACTATTGAAATAAAATTATTAATGACAGATGAATGAATATATGCATTAAGGCACCTCACAAAGAATTATGCATTAGATTTGGTTACATTACGACAAAGGTCCATTGAAAAGTATATTCGTAGTAAAGAATGAGTCTACCCAAACTGGAACTACATTTAATCTTTATCATATAAGGGCCGCAAGAACATATCTACTTTATTTGTTTATATTTTTGAACAACAAAAGAAAACGAATGTAGCCTATATCTCGATGTATAATTATCAACTGTGAATGAGCTACACACATACATGTAGATATACAATTAATCAAAATGGATATCCATGGAGCAACTATATTTATAAAAAGATATTTGCTGATGGAAATGAGAGATAACAAATGCTTGAATTACTTTTTGAGATAGAACGAGATAGATTTTTATTTTTAATTGTTTGGTAAATGGTGTTGATTTTGGTTCCTATTAGCGATGAATATCTCATTCTTTTCACAGTATTTCAAACGTCATGAAAATCCCTTTCACAAGACAGTATTTAATGATGCTGTTATACTTATTATAGGGAATCTAAATTATAAGCTTTGTTTTAGAAGGTTTCCTCCACAACAGTATTTATTTACTTCCCACTTAAATGATAAATATCATTTATATACTTTAAACTTTATTTGTATCCACAGCATTCTTATTTTTTTCTTCTATTACATGTATAATAATACTAATTTATATCATAACAATTTGTAAAGTGAACGTCTGTGTAAATGTATTTGCTATTATCGTGGAAATACAATGAAATGAACTTCAAAATACACTAGGCTCTACCATAACAATAAGGATTCCATATACTTACTATGATATAATATGTGAAGATGAATATTGCACCTGGTGAAAGCAGCTCGGAAAACATTCTGCCAGGAGCAGAATATTTAGGTCAAGTATCTTCCATTTTCTTTGGATGAACAGTTCACTATATGTTCCTTTGGAAAGTCGACGAATAGTTATTTTAGTGGCGTGGTTGCTCCCTCAGCGATTTTCCCCCACTTTATTTCTAACCTCATCACTGAAAGCGATTCAACGAAGTAACACGTCCAAAGTCATTCTGAGGGGAGTCAAAAACATCCTTAACGGTGGTGTAACTGTTCAAATTTCCTCACTGCATCCATGGCGACAAAGTCATAGACTTGATCTCATCCATAATTAAAATTCGGAAGCTTTACTTTTCTATGAAGAGAAATTTCGAAGGATGTAATCTGTCCAAATTATATTCAATTCGTAGGATACAAAATTGCGACTGAAGAGAGTTGACGTGACACTAAAACCTCAAGTGAAAAGTTAGTTCTGTTGAACGGTTCTCAGTTGGTAACATGGCATGTAACCCTTAGTAAATTGATGATCTTGGAGGTTATCAGTTCATGTTCTCGAACACTCTCGACCGGCAGTCTGTCTTAGCCCCAACCGTTGAGAACTTTAGGAGCCGCCTTTAGCATGTACCACCTGCCATACAAGTTGACGACATACGGAATACCTCAATTTCAGAAGATTTCAGAAGATTCACGTTCGTAATAATCCACTGTCTGCTTGTGTTGGGGACAGCTAGGGGTGTCGTCAGAGTGCCACAGCTTTAGGTATTCTGAATGAGTCTTCATCCAAGCAGAGATGCCAGAAGAGGTCTCTGATCCAAGCCGATGACTGTCTTCATCACATATGCAAGGTCCAATTAACTTGTATGTTCCGATCTGTTTTAAGATGAAACATATGCCCCCTGTCTCGGTGCAAACCGATTGGGGCTAAACCGCTGAAGATTTGGTTATTAGTATAATTCAAATAGTCTAAGTTGGACTTATAATACAACGGTCTAAATTAAGACCCAGGTGAAAATATCAATAAAATAACAGAGCACTACCGATACGTGTGTACCGCGTTGCCTGGCTCTTTTCTCCAGCAGCATGTCAATAACATTACGAACTCCATTCGGCACGATACAATACAAAAATCAATATGATTGGTTTGAAAGAGAGAAGGTTGGAGATTAAAAGACCTGCAACAACGTTGGCTTTGTGGAGGCGCTTGAGAGTCATTGTGAAGAATCGATCAAAATTTTCCCATGTTTTTTGTTTCGCGCGAGGGTAAACGCTTCACCGCTATTGATCCAAGGTTAGGCCCGTCGACGGAAGAATGAAAATGAGTATCATCATGACCATGTCGGGACGGAGGAACAAGGGAGGGTATAGACCCATAGGGGTTCGAGGGCGTGGTCGAGCTTTGTGGACTGGTGGTGGTGTTGGTGGTATTGGTGGTGGTGGTATTGATGTTGTTGGTATGACGCGTGGTGGCGAGGGAGCTGGAATGGAGACAGTGGAGGTGACGGTGAGAGTGATGAGATGGGCGAGAGGACAGGTGATGAATGGTGAGGGTAAGGGCGTGGTCATGAGATGGAAAATAACGAATGGGTGATGATTAAGGGTAACGTTAGAATTATTACCATTGTCGCATGATGATGTGGGTTGATGGTAAAGGAAAAGGGTGGTGGTGAGAGTCATGATGATGAGATGGGTGAGTGCGAGATGAGATATGTTGAGTGGTAAGGGTAAGGGCGTGGTCGATGAAAAACTACGGTTAGAGGGATGATGATAAAGGATGACGAACCTCATCCTGGTGGAGATAAAGCGTGATGCAAAAATAAAGAAAAGCAAAACAGGAGAAGGATGATGGTTTGGATTAATGGTACGAGTGGTTTTAATGGTAAAGGGGGTAGTAGTGCCAGTGCTGCTCCCGATGATGATGATGATGAATAGGTGATGGTTAGAGGAGAGATGATGAGTGGTGAGGGTAAGGGCGTGGTCATGTGATGGGAAATACAGGTTAGAGTGACGACTAAGGATGATCGTAGAAAGGTTTAACATTAAGGGATGATGATATGGGGTGATGGTAAAGGAAAGGGGTGTTGGTAAAAGTCACGACGATGAAATGGGTAATAGTTGGAGATTTGTTGAGAAATAATTTTATTTTGAGGGTAAGGGCTTGGTGATGATGGTGATGATATGAAAAGTAACAGTTGGGTTGATGATATAAGCCGTTTGCTAAAGTAGTCACCTGAACAATCATAAGTCTTTTGAATTAATGCTAACATTCATTTCATTGCGAAGGGGAAGTCTTACCGATCAAATATAACAACTTCCCTCTTCAAAATATAGTAATCATCTCTCAAAAATGTTAATTTTGAGATCCAGATTTTCTGCATTCAGCGGTCCTCCGTATAGAGCGTCAAGATACGTGACGTCGCGTGCTTGACACAGCTAGCAGCAAAAATTGCATTTGAAGTTGCCATGACATCTGTATGATTTTTCAGCAAATTATTCATGTTTTTTCAAGAGAAATCTTTCCATCCATAAATAATTTGGCCATCATTATCAGTTGTCGTGAATTTTCTTCGGGTGACTAGTACTTTAAGGGTCGTGGTGACTCTGATGGAGGTAATGACGCGTGAGTATAAGAAGAACAAAACACCAAGAGAGATGAACGATTTAAGGTAAGTGGTGAAACTCTTTCCTTTCTCTCGCCCCTCTCTATCCTCTCTTCATCACATTCATCCATCTCCCCCATCATTCAATAAGCAACATTCTTTTATTGCTTTTACTAATCGATTCCCCTCTCCCACACAGAATGTATTTCGACCTTATTACACTGTATTCACAGAACGCTCTTCACATTCACTCAACTTATAAATAAACAAACACATTAATCAACGATGATTTATTATTACAAGTGAAACATATTTTTATTAATAATGCATACAAACATCGAACTCCTCTCTATACAATAACAGACATGTTATTTTAACTTCTATCTCCTCCAAATATTTTCATCAATCCAATAATTATTCGTTCAGATCAGTCTTCCTCCAGACAACAAACTTTTTGTCAGTGTTACCTCAGTTGACCAAAAAAAAATCAAAGAGTAAAAACAAAACCAAATCAAACCAAACAAAACACAAAACATAGAAATGGGGAATGACAATGTACATGCTCTAGATTAGTCCTGTTTAAATTTCTGACATAATCTATATTTCAATAATTGTTTCCCTTTTTTGTATAGCACCAACTGAAAATGGTCCGGGGGGGGGGGGGGAGTATTTGCTATATAATTGTATTCAGTTAACTTCGTTTTGCTTTCCCTAGCGTTCCAATGGTTGTATATTCAATTTTACAACAATTCTGATGTTTTTCGCTGCTGAATTAAATAATAAAGATAGAAGTATATCATCATTGGTCATGGCAGTCTCATAACGAGTTGCAAGGATTGCTTTAAAATAAAAAATGTAACCTTGCATCGAATGATTCAAATAATCGATGCCAAACTTCCACATACTCTACTAAATATTAAACTCAAGAGAAAACTTCATGTGCCATGTCATTTTACTTCTTTCTTTTTTTGGAGAAGGAATTTGAGAATTCGTCGCTGTTTTCACGAAGTGACGGTAGTGAAAAAAAATTGCATTCACTTTGCGTTACGATTTTCCTCTCTACCGTCACTTCGTGAAAACAAGGACGAATTGTCCTATTATTTGGGAGAAATTTGTTTTACAGCATTCCAATGTTTTTTAATTATACTGGACTATCAAAGTGAATGCATGTTTCATATTTTGTAATACAAATAAATGATCAAATGTCCTAGCCTTAAACTTTTCTTTTTCAAAAACAAGAGAAAGAAAAAGAGAGAGAGAGATGGAGGGAGGGAGGGAGAGAGGAAAGGAAAGAGAGAGGGAGATAGAGATAGAGAGAGATAGAGAGGTGGCATGCAATTTAGAAGTGGGGCAAGAAACACAAACAAAGCCAACTTGATTAGATCAAAATGTTGTGCATATACATTATCTTTAATCTTGCAACCTTTATTTATCACCATCAATAATCTTATGAATAGACGCAGTAACTGTTCAGAGCCAAAAGAGCACTAACACTCTTAAAGTATATGAGTTAATGCCCTTCTGGCTCCTAACAGACAAATCATCTTGCTTAACCTATCCGAACCACTTGCCTGTTGCAATTGCCTGTATCTTGTGAAATGTCTAACAACAAAAAGCCAGATAAAATCCAACCAAACCGAAAACAAAACAAAATGTGAAACACAAAACTTATAAAAAAAATGGCAAATGTAATCATTAACACAGGCCAACCCTTGCATAACATCATATCGTTCCTGTTTTCACAAAGTGACGGTAGTGAGGAAAATTTGCATGCAAAGTGTATGCGATTTTCATTCACTACCGTCACTTCGTGAAAATAGGGACGATATGTTATCATCAACTGAAAATAAAGAAGGACTATTGTATAATGTAAGAAGCTTTGATCCGGTGTCAACTTGTGTAGTCTCTTGAGACTGTTAAGAAGGGCATTCACTAAACATTCACAGTAATAGGTGGCAATGGCATGCCCATCTGGCTTTCAACATGTGATTTGCTGGGTGAAATGTTATACAGTAAAACCCGTCTATAGCGACCGCCCAAGGGAAACACAAAAAGTGGTCTTTGTAGACAGGTTCCTTTAGTACATGTTTCAATGAGAAACCATTTCCAAGGGGAACAAATAATGTGGCCTTTGAAGACAGGTGGTCACTAAAGCAGGTTTGACTGTACAATGTAGTTCAGAAGGTTGATTTGAATGTCTCTTTCTCTTCCATAATTTTGATACATTTCTACTTTCTAATAATGATAATCCTTTAATAGTGGAAGGGAGTCATGTACTTATGCAGCTAAAAAAGAAAAAAGTACCATTTTTGAAAAGTATATCTTCATTGACAATGGTCATGCGAATGTACTACTGAAGACTGTTGTAGTTTAAAATGATCAAATTTGTCATGCTTGGAATCATGCATAGTAAAAAGTTGTAGTAAAAACATAAAAATAGAAGACAAGTATTAAAGTGGTCACATAACTAGTGCATAATTTACTGATCGAGTAGAAGACCAACTGACATAGTTATAAAGAAAAGTACCTGGTATAAGGAAGTAAGTACTGAATATGAAATATTGTAGTTATGTTTCTTTGGAGATTGATACTGAGGTTTATCAACATGGCATTTAAAAAAAAAATGGTTGAATATCAAAAGGGCGTTAAACTAAAAAAAGATTTGACACCATCTGACTCTCAATTCAAGATTGTTATGCCTACTAAATACATTTGTGTAGGCTTTAACCCATGGCGGACTTACCACCATCTGCCCCTAAATGCTACACATGCGTAGCCCATCTGAGCGTCCTTTTGCCAGGCAACAAGATAAATAGGAATGGGTGTACACACACCTATACAATACACACTCAACTTATAAATCCTTTTCCCAATTAGATATTTATAGGTAAAACCCAAGACCATTTGAAATGTACATCAAATTAGTTTGTAAACAACTCAAATAATGCCTCTGGCTACTTTGTAGCGAAGGCATAAAAATCTACAAATCAAAAACTTGTTTATCAATACCATACATGCTTACAGAACATAGTCTTTCTTAAAAAGTGATTGCAAGAGGGAAAACAAAACCAGGTTTTAAGACTTTGACAGTAGCAGAATAGTTCAATAACTTTTTTCATACTGAACTTGAGCATGTTGGTATGTTACTGAAGATAGAACCTTTCAATATTTTGAAAGAATGTTCACAGACAAATTTGCAATTGCTAAAATCATTGAGAAATTAAGGTTGATACTATCTTTAATTGGTTTCCTTTAGACCCCCTAAGCCTGTATTAAAGTTAGACATAATAAACCAGAACCATGGAAAGTAGGAGATTGGCTTCTTAGGCAACATTAAGCCTTCTGTCATTAACAGAGAATAATTACTTGTAATACCAATCACCCTGTATAGTATATACAGTAGGATTCATTATAAACTTTAAAAGCATATATTAATAGTGTCCTTTGCAAAAAAACAGACTTATCATATATATAAAGACAGATATATATGGAGGAAATACATATATGCACAGAGATAGACTTGAAACATACACAGTTTTCCCATGTCCCAATATCTATCGTTTTATAAAAAATATCATCACCATTCATAAATAGGATCCGCATAGGGGGCGGGCGTACACACAAATTACCAACTTAAAGAAACCCCCACACTGATATAAATCTATAATCATATTTCACGTAGATTAAAGTGGGTACACTATTCATTCATAATCATCATCATAATCCCACCACCTTCCATAATCACAAATAGAAGACTCGTTATAGCTTTTTTGTAATCGAAAAATCCTTCTGCTCTCTTCACAAGATTTCGTATTATTATTTTTTTTTTACAATAGTTGTTCACCAAAGTGATAGGTATATTATATTTGTACATTTTCATTTACATATTTCACAATTTACACAATTATGGAATCATGCTAACAATTGAATCACAACGTTGCTCATTTTCGGCCGATATTCCCCCAAAATCATTGCATAGATGACTTCTTAAGCCAGTGAAATAAAAAATGAAATAACCAAACTCAATAATGACAATTCTGTAATAACCCAAATCACAAAGTTCTCCACTGAGGAGAGATAGTATTGAAGTATACATCAAATGTATTCAGTAATACTAACAGCCTTTTGACATTGATCCCAATTTTAAAACATCAGTGCAGAAAGGACACAAAGGCCAAGTATTATCAATGGCTCTTATGTCATTTTGCGTTCAGGTTACTGACTAGTGATATCAAAATTGCATTAAATAGCTTTAGTGCCATGCTATGAAGTGCGGCTTTTACGTGCAGTGGAAAAAAGAGAGCAAAGGAACGTTAGATAGAGATAAGAACTCACCAAATAAATCCCAAATTAGAGTACCATATCAGAAGATACCAAAACCAGTTAAATTCTTGCCAGTGTTTAGAGATATCGGAGTTCGTATATCATGGAAAACATCTCAGAACACCAATAACACTAACAACTCATAATGAGAATGTGAGTTCTTACATCAATGCTAAATTAAGCCCCATATGTGATTGTTTTTCTTTCCTTCTTTTGGTTCCCAAAGTAATGGAAAAGTTTCCAATTTGTGATTCTACTTTGCGAATGTACAATTACCATCTTCGCAAACATAATTTCTTTTCAATATATTAACACATCTTGGAACATAAAGCATACACTTGGTGCGAACATAAATTATGCAACAAACAACAAACCAAATAGTGCCTTTAAGTTTAAAACAAAAATCAGTGGGCGAACAGCGTCATTACAAACAAAATATATACAGCATTGCCCCCAAAAGACCCATGGCTGCCCACAATTTGTTTATTAAGTGAACGAGTGTTCTGAGCTTGTGCAATACATCTAATTTCCATCTCTATGAGTGCAAAAATTGTGCTGCACCAATGCTTAACATGCACAGATGCTAGACAATAGACATGTACATCTGCTTAAATGGCATTAAAAGCTTTAAATCGTGAAGCAACGTTTGAACTAGACTCTTGAATTAGTGTTTAACTTCTTATTCTGTTATTTCAATTACAAGAACAGCATGATAAAAGGCATTACAATGTGAACCCTGCTTACAGTAGGCCTACATGTATAATATATTCTTTCCACAGAATATTTACACTTTCATACCAGGAAAATCCATACTTTCTGTACATTACATTAAACTCTCAATCTTGCAGCAATAACAGTTCTCGCTTTCTTAAAATGTATTTGCCTTCGATCATGATTTCTCACCTTGTTTTAATAGCTCCCTAGTTGGGGCTCAAAAAGAATCATGCACAGCTAGGCCTTCAAGAATACAATAAAGTATATCCTTTATAAATACTACACTTTTATATAGTGGATTTAAATTGCAATAACTTTAATTTTGTCTTTGTATGCACACACATTAGTCAATCTCTTCCCATTCTTGGCTATTGAATATCCTGTATCATTATTTCTGAAGAAAATACAATTATTTACCAAAAAAATATTCAATACATCAATAGTCATTGCCCCTTTATGTTATCTAATAAATAATTGAATGAAACTTTGTGGCACAATGATAAGATATACTGCATCTTTATGGTAAATTAATTTTTTAATAAACAGTCCATTTGAGAACTGAAATGCAAAAGGATAATTTAAAGGTGTTAGGATTTCTGAATTACATATCCATGTATGTACGTTAAAATTTTCAATAATTTGTGAACTGATTTACCTACAACCATAAAGCAAGCATGACTATCAGCTTCAGAATATTCCAATCTGGTTGTGTACCAACTACAACACAATATATATTTTTCTAGAGTGACAACGAATTGGGAAACGTGAAACAATGCGTTATTTTCCCTTTCTGATGAGGACGGGAAGGTTGATTCTTTCATGTGCCTTTTCCAAGAACTGCTGAATTATTGTTTGCAGTGATCTTCTGTAAAATATGATGATTTTTGTTTGAATCCTAAGCTATCTATACAAGTAAGCAGGCAGTAATGAAGCTTCGTTGTGCATCCAGTGAGCAACATGATAAGCAAGTGAGCTTGGCTAACAGTTCCTTCCTTCTGCTTGCAAAGTCTTAGGGTAGACCTAAGTTGATTCCTGCAAGATGATGCCTTTGATAATCCTGGATGAAGGTGTGAAGCACAGCAACCGCTTTCCTCAAACCTTGAGCTATAAAGCAGGACATAACCACTCAGAGAAGCCATAGACTGTGAAAAGATTTTAAAAATCAATGTTCATCACAGTTCTTTACCGTCTCAAAGTATCCTGCAACAGATTGGAACAGAGCTGTGCATAATAGCGTTGCATGCTGATAATTCTGCTAATTCTGTTCCTATTAGGCTAGATGTGCTGCAAGTGCAATCCAGGGTCCAACTTGGGACCAAGTCCCTGCAAGGACCAGGAACTCAAAACCCAGCCCCATCAGGAGACCAAATAGTTGCATGCTGGTAATTCTGCTAATTCTGTTCCTATTAGGCTGTGCTGCGAGTGCAACCCTGGGTCCAACTTAGGACCACGTCCCTGCAAGGACCAGGAACTCAAAACCCGGCCCCATCAGGGGGGGGGGGGACCAAATAGTCCTAGCTGCTAAAACCATCCATCATCCATCCATCCACGCATCCATCTTTAAACAAAAGACGACTATTGCCATTGAAGCACCAATCAGAGAGTGTCAGATAAAGTTTTGATCGCTTTCGCTTTGATCGCACGTCACCCGTCGTCACATCCATGCAGCCATCTGTTTCTGGACTATCGTGACGGCGTCGTGCCGGCCCATCTCCTGGAATGCTCCTGCTAACCTCATGAGAGCGCCCTCCTCGCTGTCCCGCGCTTCCCACATGTCAAGGATTTGATCGGTCGGACTTGGTTTGATGCCAAAGAAATTAAGATATCTGCAAGATAGAGGGGGAAAAGGAAATTAAACTTATGATATCTTTTAAAGCCCCACTGCAATACTTATAGCTACTGGCACCCTCTATATAGCAAACAATGCCTAATCGGTGACTTCTGGTTACCCATGATCCTCTTTTTCTTATGTTAAATGAGAGCTGAGATGATAAGTGTCAGTGACCATCCTGGGCAGTCTAATCCCTCCTAGCCAAGCTAGTACAGATGGGTTTTAAAGTTCATTGATTTCAAGCACCCATATTCTTACATTTTAAAAAAATGGTAAAACTAGTAACCTATTTTCATGAAGGACTGAAGATTGTTTCTTAAAAAGTGTTGTAAAGGTCAATATCTCAAGAATAAGGCCTAGGGCATCACTTTTGGTGGCAAAAAGGCATAACATGATAAAGATGACCCCCTTGCCATCTAACTATAACCTTTAATTGCACAATAGGTTGTAACTAAACTACCATCAAATTAATGATAACAATTTTCATATAATAATGCATTCATACATCTAATATCCTAACTTAATATCACAGATACTATCATCTACATGTAATAATAATAATATTCGGTTCTTGTATAGTGCATATCACATTTAAACATCTCAATGCGCTTCCAAATTTGGAAATTATACCCCGGCTTTAGCCTAGCTACCATTAATTACGGCGCTCTAGCATTTCAAGGAATTAATTCCTGCCAGGTACCCATCACCTGGGTCGAGTGTGGCAAATGTAGTACTACACTTTCCAAAGTTGGATAAAGCTGCTTGAATTTCAAGAAAAATTAGCATTGTGTTGTATCTCTTAGACGTACCCATCGACACCTAGTTTGGTTGCGAGTAGTTTCCAGTCATTACCCTTGGGCTGGGGAATATCAAGGCATTGGCACAAGGCGGTTCTGACTGGTTTAGACAGGTGGAAGGCGTTCTGAGGCGGTACCATGTGGTTAGGGCTGTAGCCGTTCAGTCTCAACTCCTGCTCCACAACCACCTAGAGATGGGTATAATATATAAAGAAATGAATTAGGGATATCAAGGCATTGGCACACGGTGGTTCTGACTGGTTTTGACAGGTGGAAGGCGTTCTGAGGCGGTACCATGTGGTTCGGGCTGTAGCCGTTCAGTCTCAACTCCTGCTCCACAACCACCTAGAGATAGAGAGAGAGATGGGTATAATATATAAAGAAATGAATTAGGGATATCAAGGCATTGGCACAAGGCGGTTCTGACTGGTTTAGACAGGTGGAAGGCGTTCTGAGGCGGTACCATGTGGTTCGGGCTGTAGCCGTTCAGTCTCAACTCCTGCTCCACAACCACCTAGAGATAGAGAGAGAGATGGGTATAATATATAAAGAAATGAATTAGGGATATCAAGGCATTGGCACACGGCGTTTCTGACTGGTTTTGACAGGTGGAAGGCGTTCTGAGGCGGTACCATGTGATTAGGGCTGTAGCCGTTTAGTCTCAACTCCTGCTCCACAACCACCTAAGAGACGGGTATAATATATAAAGAAATGAAATAATAATAATGATAATATACTGTACTTATATAGTGCATATCACAATATGTCTCTATGCGCTGTAAGAAGGAAAGGTGGATAGAGTAACATCAGAAGAGTGAGATATGCTCAACATACTTCCTCTCGTTAACATTGGAAAGTATTTTGAAAAGAAATTTTGAAAAGTAGGATATCTATGTTGTGGACACAAGTTAAAGGGATGTTTCATGCTTCAGGTGGTGGGGAGGGGGTGGGGTGTGCCCTCCTCTCCAGCAAAACCTAATCTGGCATACTAATAGTACACAGCAAAACAATGTGCTTACTAACTTGTGTGACTAATTCCCTGGCAGCAATGTTTGACTCAAGGTATGACAAGGTATACAATGAGTGTTTAAGGGAAGCATCCCCTTGAGCCTTCTATGAACCGGGAAATGAGACAAAAGGGTTCCTCAATAATAAGTCTCCTTGAAAAGTCTAGAAATAATGGTGTTCTTAGATCTTCATTTTTCTGGTTTCTGCATCAAATAATAATACTTTTCTGCTTTTATATAGCGACCAATACATCGATACAACGATGTGTCTAAGCGCTTTACAGATATATTATTACCCCGGTCGTCAGATTCAGGCTTCACTGCACACAATGTATGCACATTCTCCATTCCGGCCTGTCGCCATTATCAAATATTGAGGTTAACTCATAAAAAATCTCTCAAAGTTCTACAAAATAGGTCAACTTGAAAACCTGGAAGAGCCACAAGTTACAAAGAAAGGCCAACCCTTGAATGACTTACCCCATCAATGATCCTCTCCATGACCTGCATACTGGTCGTATAGGTGCCTTGGGTGACCTCTAACCTGCAGCCAATGGGTCCGATACCCGGCTCCGTCTTGACCAAGGCAAATGAACAGTGCAACGTGTTGGAGGTACCGCTCCATACATGGTAGAAAGGAATCTCCTTGGAGAAAAGAAACATGGAAGACTTTCTCACTAAAAATCGCTCATACTTTTGGAGGATATACTACTTTAAGAATAGTGATTACTTCTTAATTTATTCATAAAATTTGAAAATACTTTAGTATTATTAAGTTTAAGATACATTTTCCAGTGATAATTGCTCCTCTGTCAATTTACTAATCCTGGTCCCAATACCACATCTGACCCTACTCCAAGCCTAAAATTGAACCAAACCAAATCATGATCCTCACTACTTGAATTAAACTCCAATTTTCTCAAAGGGTAATCAAAGGTTGTGATATCAAACACACCTTAGTGGAATTCAATTAAAACAACAAGAAAGTTAACATGATTCTAAAAGTTGAGATAACTACTTAAAAAGTAAATATGAGAACTATATAATATAGTAATAATAATAATAATATAGCGCTTAGAGACTTAGGTGGTAAGCGCTTTATAAGTAACGTTTTTATTATTATTATTATTATATTATTATGTAATTATGCTGACTGAGTTTGATGCATCCAGAGATATATAACTCCATATTTTGGCAGAATGAATATTTGATTTCAAAATGTTCAGAGAAATGTGTGCTTTCCAGGAAACACAAAGACTAAACTGAATTGAAGTCAATGGCTAGTGAAACATAGACTTAACTCCTGAAGGCCCAAGTGGACCTCTATATTTAAACCACTTTTTCTCAAAATGGCCAAACGGAGTTACGTCTTTGTGTCACTGACCCCTCAATATGTAGCTATATCTGTTTGTAAGTAGGTATACTGAAATGTGACCCTCTCCTGGACAAAACATTAGTTCATGTTTAATTAAGGTAACTTACTTGACAGTTCTTGGCCAGCTTGCATTGCCAGCCAGGTACTATGTTTTGGATCTCCAATCTGAGATTATTGCCGTTGTCGTGGTAGTCAAATTGGCAGCCACCCTGGAGGGGTTGTCCTCCAAGTCTCCTCTCAACATTGAGGATATGCTGCAAGATGACAAAGATGAAAGATATAGATTTTTCCTATTTAAAAATACATTAGGTCACATATATATAAGTACTATTACGCCATTTATTTTAGGCATTCCATGTACCCCATTTACCTATAATGTACAGCATGAGTTATATTTTATTTAGAAACTTGCTATATTAGGTTTTATATATCTAAATATTCAGATTTATTATGGTACATTATATTATTTACTTGATGCATTATGTGTCACGTTATTACAAGAAGAAAATACAGTGTTTCTGCTGTACATAATTTTTCTTTTGTTTTGCTATATACACTGCATTGTAAACTGATTTATATGATATATATGTTTTCAAACAGAATATTGATATGTAAATTGCATCGTGTGTACTGGAAGGTTCTGGAATCATCAAAATGATAAGAAATTTGGCCCTGTCTTGGTAAAGTTACAAGCACTGTACACAGAAAGATGTATATGGGACTTCACAAAAATGTGGCATAAAAATCTGTCCGATTTTTGAAGAGCCATGCTTTTCAGGGAACATTTTTAATCTGATGTTCTTCCACACTTGCATAATACAATGTTAACGCTCACAGATTAAGTCAACCTTCTCTTTAAGCACAGTTTTGCTCAATCTGCTTACCTCTATAGCATCTGGAGTGTCTTCCGAGATGTACACTTTGATATGGTAATCTAGCGTCGACCGAAGAGCTGGACCGAAAGCTAACAATTTTAACCTCTTTGCTGACTGTCTCTCTGGCCTTGACTCGCCACTGAGGGCATACCACCCTAGCTGGTCAGTGACGATGCAGGATAGATGACTATCCACCTGGCAGAAGACTTGTAAGTTGATGGTTTCCTCTCCGACGGTTGTCTGCTTCTGAATGCGACAATATAAATTAAGAATATTATAATTTTATGGGAGCATTAGTAGAACTTCATTTGTGATGACTTCTATTAACATCCCCCTATCCCAAGTTTTTTATGGTGGCTTATTTATTTATTTATTTTTTTTTTGGGGGGGGGGGGGGGGGGAGGCAAACTGCCCTCAACCCATGTTATATTTTTTTCTGATTTCCTTTTTTTTTGCCTTTTGTGAATATCTCCTTCCTGCAATTTACTTATTCTAAAATGTGTAAAATGTTTTAATCATACTAAACCTGTTTGACGAAATGGCAAAATAGTACAGTTTTGCATTTAAAAAAGAAAGTAACCTAAATTTGTTCACCCCCCCCCCCTTTCGAAAAAAGAATTTATGTTATATTCACCTCCCAGCATTTGTCATCTGTTGGATGTGTACTGCTGGCGATGACCGAATGCCTCCAGTCATTCTTGCTCATCTGTGCGCAGTGCGGTAACACCAGGACAACTGACTTGGCAAGGACTACAGAGGGCGGGCCGCACAAGATGACGGGGCTGAGTAAGGTCTGGTTATGTTCTATGTGCGGTCTGTCCATAAGTTCATGTGAGACTGCTAGGTATATTTCTACCGTCTGGCCGCGTGCTATGGCACCCTCAGGTATCATCAAGCTAACTCCTACAAGAGACAAACAAAAAATACTTTTAAAGCCAGTCTGTACTAGTTAAGCCAGGAGGGATTAGACCACCCAGGGTGGTCATCAACTCAGGTCTCTATTATTATTGGAAAAAGAGGATCATGGGGGACCAATGGTCACCGATCAGGCATTGTTTTCTATATAGAGGGAGCAAGTAGCTACAAGTAGTACAGTGGGGCTTTAACCCATTGATATTGTAGGAATGACCCTTCCAAATTACAGAAAAAAGGGGAACCATATTCCCAACAGTTGAGGTGTCGTGGTGTAGTGGTTCATTCACTTGACTCTCAATCCAAGGGTTGAGGGTTCCAATCCCAGCCCGGCACTAATGTCTTTTGGCAAGGCAATAATCCACATTTGCCACTCTCCACACAGGTGTGAATGGGTTACTGGCAAATGCCGGGGTAATACTAATTATAATAGCAGGGCCCCTTAGGAACAACAGTATTGACAAAGTTGAATTCTTTATAAAAAATCCTGATTTGGGGATATATTCATAATAAATGCACAAAGCAATATCCTTCAAATTCACATCTTGGAACTGAAAAAGTCAAAAATGTCACAAAGCTGATTTCTATATTGAAGTCTCTGATTTTTTGATAAAGTTGTGAGGATACGATAAAGAAATTTCTAAGAAAGGAAACAGCTTTCAATGAATCTAAATATATCACATTTGTGAAAATTATTATTTTTTCCATCACACAATTCTTTTAAAGTGCTTAAATTACAAGAATTTCCATTTTTGTTGTTGCTAGATCACTTGTGGTTTTCCATAGCCGACAAAGAAGCTACAGATCATTTATGTCCCCTACAAATATCAAGAGACATCATGTGAAAGATTATTCAAAAGGAAGGTAGAGGACAAACCTGAATCTGGTAGCACTAATCTGCCCCCTCTTGATCCCACATGCCCCGTTGCTATGCTGTAATCCGAGTGCATTGGAAGCCCTAGAGCGCTGCCCGATAATGTCCTGCCTGGATCGGAATCACACATAGACTGAGGCTCAAGACTTTCCTCCGAGGAATGTCCCTGCAGCATGTAGTTTTCATCTGCCTCCTCCATAATGTACCCATCATTGTCCTCCAAGTCGCCGTAGCAACGGGTCTGACAGTACCTCGGATCCTGTGGAGGTGGTTCTGGAGGATTCAGCGTGGCGTAGATGTGCTTCTCCTGTCCGGGTCCTACCAGAGGAACATAGGTGTGGCTTTTTGTTGGCGACAGCGACCGCGAGTGCGGGTGCGAATGCAGGGATCCGTTATTTAACGAGTACTGTGAGATATCCGACGACCCCAAGCACCCGAGCTGCGTGATGGTCCCTCCTTTTTTGGGCGAGAACTGAACGGTGAGCTGATGCGGGATCTTCCCGCCAGTCAGGTCAGGATGGGGCGGATGCGTTGGTGTCCCGGACATGGGGATCTTCTCGTTGTGACTCGAGAGGGCGACGTGGTTGGATCGCAGCGAGGAGTGCATCGTCTGGGTTGTGATGTCCGGTGGTTGTGCTGAAAGCATAGCCAGGTTACAGTCCTCTGTTAATGCGGGTTTGTTCAATGAAAGGTTGCCATGGCAGCAGGGGGAAGCAACATACAGATCAAAAGGAAAGAAGACACAAAAAAAGAAGCAAACTGAATTCTCATGCAAACAAAAATACAAGCAGCAAAATACAATACAATGCTTTGAAACATGATTGATTTCTTTTTTTAAGAGTGCTTTAACTTTAAAGTGCATGTTCTCCAAATGTTTGCATCATTTGGAGAACACTCTGCATCTCATGACTGTAGAGTGTAGATCCACAGAGGCATCAACGACAGTCACTGCCCTTCTAAATCTCAGCACAATGGATAATTTTCAACAAAGAAATGCAGCAAAAATATCAACTGAGACAAACACACATGATATGACAATGAATTGGATTTTTTAATAAGCAAACATAAATTCAGGCATTTTGAAAGTACTGGAATAAAACAATGACAAACGAAAAGTCTTAGCAATTTTCCTTTTCCATATAAGGGACATATAGTCTAGCAAAGTCAATTGACTTTTCTTTTCCTTCAATTTCTCATGCATGTTAACCCGAAATATTACTGCTGTTTTCTTCTATGGCATGCAACACATACTCCCTACTTTTAAAAAAATTGGGGGGGGGGGGGGGGAAATCCATACAAATAATTTTGACAAAAATGCTTTTATGTCTTTTTTAAAAATACATTGACATGCTTGTATCATTCATGCTACACCATTACTTTTGATATTTCTGAACAAGAATTTAACACTCTGGTATGAACGGTAAGAAAATGTTTTACAAATGAACAAGGAATATCACAGGATTCACACAATACTAATATCTTACAAACTTGAAATCGACTTTTACATTCATAAAAGTTTATTCAAAGATTAAAGTCAATTTAATACGAGCAATTTTGAATTAAGAATAACATTCTGAATACAATTTAGAGTCTAGTTTACTAAAAATGACTGTACATTAATTGTAATGGTGACACTGAATCTGGCGTTGTAGCTATACCCTCTCATCACTGAAAGGTGGGTTTGTGTGTGTGAGAGGGAGAGGGAGAGAGAGAGGGAGGGAGAGAGAGGGAGAGAGGGGGAGGGAGAGAAAGAGTGAGAGAGATAGAGAGAGGGGGAGAGAGAGTGAGAGAAAGTAAGAAAGAGAAAGAGAGAAAGAGAAAGAGAGAGAGAGAGGGGGGGGGGGGAGGTAGGTAGAGGGAAAAGCAACATGAAGAGAAGATGATATATCCACCAACATCCTCCCACACTCCACACTCCTGTTCCCTCCTATTAGAGGAGGAGGTGCACCTTACAAGCGACCACTCTTATGTGCTCTCTCGTTTTCTGGTAAATTAAGTGTCTTTTTGTGATCTTCGTTATTTTATATTTACACCAGTGGAAGAAGTTTGTACCTGGAACCTACTGGAAATTTGTTATTTTGCTATATGCATCAATTGCGATTTTTTAAAATGAAAAAGCGCTCAGAGACTTTTGTGGAAAGCGCTAATGTCCTTTGGCAAGACATTGATCTACATTTGCCACACTCAACCCAGGTGATGTAAATGGGTACCTGGCAGGAATTAATTCTTTGAAATGCTAGAGCGCTGTAATGGCAGCGCTGTAATGGCAGCACAGCTAAAGCCGGGGTAACAATCTCCAAGTTTAGCGCTTAGTGATTATAATAAGCGCTATATAAAATCTGAGTATTATTATTATTATTATTTATAAGCACTGTTTTATTATTATTATATTATTCATCCACTTTGCACATCGATCACCGGATCGCATCATTCATTCTCTTACCGGTGGAGGTGGTGGTGTAGCTGGGGGAGTTCCCCCTTTTCCTCTTGGTGACCAGGTAGATAGCGATGAAGAGGAAGACCAGGAGGAGCACGACGATGGCTAGAGAGATGCCAATGTAAACGGGGATCTGCTTGGAGAGCCCATTCTTGCCGCCAGCTGAATATTTGAAGAAGAAAAACATTGTCGCACTGGTAACTAAATATTCCTAGAATAACCCTCATGGTTTACAGATAGGCTACTGGTACTATATTTCGTTCAACATCAGTGATATACATCAATATTCTGTTCACAAGCATAACATAATTTAGAGCAGAGAAATCGTTCTAAATGACCCATATATTTTCAAAATTTCATGTATTAACAATAAATTTCTGTGAAACAAGTTGTGAACCAGTGTCTTATTTCATTCATTATTTTGATACAACAATAATTCCATGTCATCTAATTTCACTCATGAAATTATGTTGAATTTCAACAGGAATGAGGCAAGTGTTCTTTGTCAGAAACTGTTTAATGTAGGTACAAAATCGAAGCATGTTTGGCTTAAATTAGCTATTAATTGTTAAGCCTTTGCATTTTAAATTCAGACCAACCCGGCCTGGGACAGCACCAGATGAATGATGGATGATGTCATGCTTGTATTGAGAGTGTAATCTGAATAATCAATTCTCAGGTTGACAAAATCAAAGCGGAAGAGAGCCCTCTCTAGGTGAGAATTATATATCAATTGAACACATTCCACTGGTCCTTGTATCATTCAATGTTTTATGTTACAAGGGTTGTACACAGAAAAGTATAATCAAGATATATAAATGTACATTTAACATTTATAAGGGAGGTATTGTGAACTAAAATAAATAAATGTGTAAATTAAAAGGTTAATTTCATAAACGAGGTTGAATTGAGCAAGAAGGGGGTAGATAGGCAATACACAGGAATCGATATAGATGAGGATATAAAATGTAATGTAGTAAGAATAGAGGATTAGGCAGCAAAGGTATTATGGATAAGCCCAGACCATTTTTGTATAACTAGCACAGATATTCATTATGCACACTAATTTTCTTTACTGATTTTAACCACAGAGTTACACAGCTTTTCATATATATTTTTTTCTTCTTCACAATTATAATTGATGCAAAGTTTCCTGCAAACATTTACTAAAATAGCCTGACTTACATTTTGCCTGAAACTTTACAATAATTGTATGATCAAAATGTAGGGCCTACATATTCAATTAAATACACGCAATCAGGATTTAAAAAAAATGGAAAACTTAATAAATATTGAAGTCAAGAGAAATTGAAAGTTAGTGTGCAAAGGTAAAAGTTGGGCAAAAGATTATAAAAAGGTCTAGACGTCCCCTTTAAGAGATTAATTTTCAGAAAAAGAAAGAAAGAAAGAAAAAAGAAAACACTCTCTCACCAGCTGGGTTTTGAGACGTTGTGTCTCCAGCACTAGGAGAAAATATTCCGGGATCATCGACAACTACTATATGAGGTAAATCATAGGAAAACATATATATAAATGAGTAAATAATATAATACACAATAATGATAATATAAAACAATCCAACTCAAATCATGCAAACTTAAACATGAAAGTTGTAGCATTCATTTGCATAGTACATTGCATAGTATTGTACATTACAATGTTAGTGACTTAAAATTTGGAACAATGTTCTTAAATTTTTAGCCCAGATGTATGTGAAACAAAAAAACTTCACAAAATAGCCACTTTTATGTGGTATAAACTATTAATTTGCTGTGAAGGGCTACACAGCCTACACTTTTAGGAATGAAAACTGCAATTAGTTTTCAATGATTGCACATCAGGCAACAATCAGCCCTGCTAATTTCAAAAACATTTTCTCTAATCAAATCAATGCTACAACTATGTTAATTAAAAAAAGGTTATTTCAACATCCAAATGGGTTTACTGTGTGGGTGAAAAAGAAACAAACGGGGAATGAAGGGGGGGGGGGGGGATACCTACAAGACAAGTATTATAAAAGGGACTGGGTAATATTGAAATGAATCCCATTTGTAACTATTCTCGGAGTACACAAAAATTAACACTGGCTTAAGGGATCATTTCTTTGAACTACTTAAAATCAAGCAAGCATTCTTATGAATTATAAGCTTAAATCTGAAAATCAGTGTAAGAAAATTATAAAAGTAGAATCCAAAAGTAAACAATGGCCAATTTGAGAACATACTATCAGCTGAGAACCAGAATGATATAAAAAGATGATAATAAACCTCGAACTCAAAACCATGAATTTGTTGGTCTTTTTAAACAGGTATCAACTAAAATATGTGACAATCTGGATTCCAGTGTATACCCAATTTAATATGGTTTACACCATGTTTGATCTTCTACAATCACTTTGGACTTTGGGCCTTGTTCATCTTCATTTTTCTCACTTCAAAAATTCTATGATCAGATCTTGGATAAAATTGTCAGTGTTATAATATTGCATTTTACCTCAACATGCCTTTAAGCGAGAAGCATTGTAGGTCAAATTTGTAAGACACGCTGCATTTTCAATTACAGAAAATTGATATAAATACCAATATATCAAGATTGACATTAAGATTAACCATGACTACAAGTTCTTGATTATAATGACCCCATAAAACTTGCAGATGCAACCCAAAATACACATAGTTTGAGACAGATATCACTTAATCTCTCTAAAAATAATTGCAAAGTCAAGGACACTAAATTTTGATTAAATATATCTCTTTATTTTCAACAAAGGCCAGGTGCACACTTAAGTTGTCTGTTGATTTGTTTGTAAATTTGATAATCCATTACTTGTTCTAGTTTTCAGAGGTCAGGTTGAAATTCTGTGAAAAGAAATAATTTCATAATGCATTTTTCTTTATTAAAACAGAGATGAAAAAAATATCGACCTAAAACTTCACATTTCATCAAGAGGAGCGCAGTTAGATACAAGTAAATGGGTGTTTTTTATTGACTGATATTTGGAATAACAGAAAATAGAGAGAGGGAGGGAGAGAGAGAGAGAGAGAGAGAGAGAAAGAGAGAGAAAGAGAGACAGACAGAGAACAAAGGAGAAAAAAAAAAGAGGAAACAGAAAAAAGACACGACATCTTCTTTAGTTTTATTTTATATTTAAACAATACTGATTGCAAAATATGGTCTAATTTCTCACCCCCTTACTAACTAATCTTGTAATTCCCTTAATTATCTGTCTGTTTCCCCCTCTGGTCTCTTCTCTTTTTCTCAATCTCTCTTTCTTTCAGTCTCTTCTTGTTCTGCTCTCTCTTTATTGTCTCTACATCTTCATACACACCACGCATCTATTAGGTTGTACTCTGTAGTAATATTGCATGGAACATACAGCATACCATCTGTCCGGTTATAAAAATGCATTCAAAGGATGAGCTAATGACAAGCCCAACATCTGTTCATCGAGTAGTCCATCATGCCCTTAGATAAATCATCCCATTCATAAAAATTTCAATGAAACTCATCTTTTCCAAAGCAAAACTAACGAAAAGGCCAAATCACACATTTGAAGGTGCAGCTCCATCTTTCTATTCATATCAAATGGGGGCTGTGGATCTTGATTTTGATAAGATAAGAATGTCATTATAAATGTTTTCAATGGATGGGAAAGGTTTTCCCAGAGATAAAACTTGAGAGGTTACAAATGCAGCTGAACAGGTTATCAAAATCATAAACTGACATGCAGTCAGGAAAAACACTATCCTTATTTTTTCTTTATTGTCATAGAAAAAGCATTATGATATTGTATACTTTTTTGAGATCTGACTATTACAAGATCAAAAATTGATATGCTTTTTATACAAAATGTCCATGCTTGTGCTTTGTTATATGGAAAATAGTTTATTAAAAAGAAATCTACCTATCTATTTATCTATCCATCCATCAATTCATCTGTCTATCCATCTATATTCATGTTTCTTTCTCTATGAATCTATCTGTTCATAGGAACAGAGAAAATTATAAGATAGGGAGGGAGAGAAAAAGATAAAAAATGAGGAGATTGAGACAAAAGAAATATCAAGACTGAGAGAAATGGAAGGAAAGATACAGAAAGACAGAGAGAAAAGGGAAGATAGAGAAGTTGAAGAGAGAGAGAGAGAAGGGAAGAGAGAGAAAAAGAAAGAGAAAGAGAGAGAGAGAGAGAGAGAGAGAGAGAGAGAGAGAGAGAAAGAAAGAGAGAGAAAGAGAGAAAGAAAGAGAGAGAAAGAGAGAGAAAGAGAGAGGAAGGGGGAGCTGAGGGAGGAGTGAAGTTAGGAACAGATGTTCACATACTTCATCCACACACCAGCCGTTGATGCCATCCCATAGAAGATGGGAGAGGACGCATTCCTCTGCTGTTTTCACTTTCCTCAAAACTTTCATGTTGAAATCTAAAACAAATGTTACACTGCAACTTAGGTGACCTGAGATAATACATGACAGAAGTGGAAGACAGTGCTAGTCTCAAAGATGAAACTCTTATTCCCAAACAAATGACAATTTTCCACTAATAAAAGTGATTTTAAATTGCAAAATCACAAGAAGACCAATAAATGTTAAGACCTGACATTATTCGAAGATGTTTTAAAATCACTTAATACTAGGCTTAATAAAATAGACATTGCTTGGTTTTTAAGTGAGTTAACAGTAATAGACATTGCTTGGTTTTAGTGAGTTAACATTGTAAGGAGAAATGTCTGAACATGAAGGCTAGGAGAAACATGAGGATGATAACATTAAATAGGATATTAGGATAGGAGAGAAGCAATTGGCTCTACTAAATTGATCTTTGTTTGGGTACGAGCATCTGGGGCTGATTCTACAGCTTGGTGTAAATATGTTAACCTATTGTACAAATAGCTTTGGTACATTGATAGATAGTAATCATTAGGTATGTGTTTACTGTCTGTCAGTCATACATGAAAAGATGTACGAGGATAGGCCCCTGAATGTCAATATATATAAGGTCAGGCTATCATTATGATACAATGATTACTGTTAGGAAATGTTTCTGTTCAAATGATGGTTCTAATTCATCAGAGAATGGTTTTCATATAATTTACATCGACATTTATCTTATTGATATCATAAAAATGACAATTCTTATAGTTTTCACCATTATCATCATCATTGTTAAAAGCCTTGTCATTGCCACTGCCATCACCACCATATCACAACTTATCCATTACTACGTCACACTCTAAAAACTGAAATGTTAAATCACCATTTAAAAGGGCCGAGGAGTGACAACTCTTTCAAAGTGTCAGATTGATACTTTTAACCTGCTAGATTCAACCTTTATAGTGTTGGATCCAGCATGTACAAAGTGTTAATCTACCATTTTGAAAAAGTGGTTACTCCTCGGCCCTTTTAAATGGTGATTTAACATTTCAGTTTTTAGAGTGCACAATCCACTGACAAAATTGCCAATTTGAGATTTGCATAGCTGTAGTGATCTCATTTTTCAAACATTCATAACTTTCTCTATAGTGGTCCGATTTGTGTCAAACTTTCACCATTCTGTTTCTCTCATTTTTCTGCTTTCATTCAAACAAACTTATTATAAGGATTGGATTGTCTTTTAATACCAGGTCCCCTGGTTCTAGTAAGTAATGGGTTAACGTATTTAACATTTAAGATGATTAAGTATGTGCCTACAAATCCAGACAGGACCAGACTTTTGGTCAAACAAAGAGCTTGTTGAACAAACTTTGCTTTATATGATGTTCATGTACAGATGTATGGGATAGGCCTCATTAACTCAAACATAAACAACAAGAAGGTCAACTTTATCATTATAATACAATGGACGAGGGTGGTGTAATAGCTCCAACTAGCTCTCTAAAGATCTTTAGAGAGCTAGTTGGAGCTATTACACCACCCAACTAGCTCTCTAAAGATCTTTAGAGAGCTAGTTGGAGCTATTACACCACCCTCACTTGTATACAAGTAATCACTAGCACTGGCAATATGGCAAGACTAGCTATACCACCATCAGCATTACCATCATCAGTGACAGCTAGCATCATCACCATCATCATCATCATCATCATCAGTAAATCATCACCATCATCACTGTGATCTCCCCCATCCCTTAAAGTTATTGTAACATGACATGTCAACACAAATTATACATGTTGATTCATTAAGATCCAAAAGTCCCCTTACAACATTTTTATGTGTTTGTGAATGCAACTATAAAAATCAATACAAATCCTATTAAATGATTCTCCATTTCTTTTAAAGATATTAAGACTTCAAAAGATATACAATTTTTGTTAATATCAAGCCTTTTTCAAAGTAAACTGCATTGTCAAAACATTGGTCTCCTTTACGATCTGCGATGCTACCCTAGATGATACTTCAACGAGCATATACGAAAATAGATAGACAGGACTTTAAACAAGACGTCACTTCTGAAAGTCGATGATGGTCGAGTCCAAAGAGGAAGTTGAAACCCAATCTTGTAGGTC